AGTTTGATGATGCTGAGGCTGATCTTTAGGTCCTTGATCTTCAAGTTCTTCAATGATAGGTTCCTTAATAGTTTGGCGAATGGGAAGGTTTGGTTTGTCTGTGTTTAGGGATAGATTTCTTCCTTTGAAATGTTTTTGTAACTAATTGAGGAGAGGAGATGGCAGGAGAGGTCATAGGCATTGGCATGAATAAGGGTACGACAAGCTCTCTAACATTTTGAGTAAGTTTAGTAACAAGTTTGTTAAGATTTACATCATCAATATCTTTAAAAAGTTCCTCAAATAAAGAAGTTTTTATAGTTTTGGCTATGTTTGAGGATTTTGGTGGAGAGTGAATGGCATGCCATCAAAAGGATGAATAGGCTTTAAAGTGTCATGATGGCTTTGATATTCAGGTTGAGAGTCTATAGGTTGGTGTTCTGGGTGAAGATGGATGTATAATCCTTAATCTCTTTGAGAAAGAAGATTTTCTTGCTATTGAGAGGAAGGATCAACTGGTGAGGGCATTCGGAAAGGAGAGTGAGGTAGATCAAAGTGTGTTTTAAAGGTTGAGAATGAATCCACTATGTGTATTGAACCTTCTTTGAATCTTGAAAGACTAGCCTCATCTTCTTGTCTGATAGTCCTTCCATGTGTCCTTGAGATTCCAAGGTGATCCATGATTTTATCCAACTTACCATTTAAATATAGCATCATGTCACCAAGTCCCTTACTATCATTTTTGAGGTGCACCACTACTTGGTCAAGCTTTCCTTCAATTTCATTGAGGACTTTATAAAGGAAAGCATTTGACATGTTAGGTGGAGTGGGCATTTGAAAAGGGGGCTGAAATGAAGAAGCTCCAACAGCCTTTGATATTCTAATAGTAGCTTTCTTGTGTAACTTATTTTTCTTCCTTGTTGCAATAGGATCAGTGAGTTGTTCTTCCTCTTTAAGAACAAAATTGTTCCCTTCCAGCTTGAACTTCATTTTGTAGAGAGTAGTATCCTTAAATTCTTTTGGCTCTAACATTGTTCCTTCAGTGTATTTGACTCAAAATCTTTTTAAAATAGCTTATATGACTGATGCAAAGTAAAGATTCCTGTCTTTCTTCTGTTCCTTCTTCATCTTTGTGTCAACCTTAGAAACATGCAGCATCTTAGTTAATATGTAGTGACACATATTGATCTTTTGCTTCTTGATCAATCTGGTTAGGAACTCAATCTCAAATTCAATATAAGTGTTGAAGGCAGTCCTCTTGTTAAGAAAGAACCTTGCCACAACATATGCTAACATCCGATGCTGGAATGGGAATGAAGTTGGTTTGAAGATGAAGCTAGGCTTTAAAGCTTCCTCAGTTACATCTTCTATCATCATAATTGCTCTGTATTTTTCTTCATTTATGTGTTGTCTGGGAGCATTTCTTTGATTAGCACAATCAAACTATTAAAACTCTAGACCTCTTACTTCAAAACCAAGTATATGTCATAAGCTTTTTAGAGTGAAGTACATTGGACATCCTCGAACATTGGCCTTGTAAGTCTTCTTATGTTTATCCCATTCAAAGCTAGCATAGAAGGCCTTCACCACTTCAATTGAATATGAGAGATTGAGCTCCAACAAGCCTTTGTTGTCACTTAAATACTCATCTATATTAAAGTTATAAGCCTTGATAAAAGAATCATATTTGGTGTAGTGACTTGTGACCACCATAGCAAAGGAGAAGTACTGATTTAGTCTAGACAGAAGCTTTCCTTCTCTGATTCTTACCTTTAAAACTTCACTTGGAGAGACATTGCTACCATCGTTGGACAAGTCTCGGCCAATTTTGATCAAAGCTTCTTCTTGTTAATAAGTTGTAATAGGCTCTAATGCAGAAGCAAGCTCCTTGGATTTTACCCATCTCGTAGATTAGAAGAGATGGGTAAAATAATTCTAGTGCCAAAACGGCTAGAGAAGAATCAAGAAGGCAATTAAGAAGGAAGGATTGATTAATGACTAAAAAAATGAACGTTAGTTCACGCATGAAAATGAAAGGTAGATAAGAAAGATATATATAGATAATGCAGGATCACATGTGAGACAAAATTTGTTTCACGCGTGATTTAGCACTTTTTACTGACCAAGTGCTAAATCTCATTAGTGATAGACAAGTTTCATGCTTGATTTGGCAGCAAGTATAACGTTCAACTAATACATAATTAATATAGGTAAAGTCACGTGTGGTCACAGATTGTTTTCATGCGTGAGATGACTATTAGAATGCCATGCTCTTGGGAAGGCATTTCATGCAAGTAAGCCTTCCTCCTAAAAGTTGAAGGAATCTATGTGTTTTGTCGTTATTGATTCTTTAGGAGATTTGTATAGGATTTAAAAATAAAAAGTGAAATGTTTGTAATTAAGATAAAATAGAAGGGAAGGTTAGTGTATTTTATTTTTTTATAATGAAAAATATCAAGATTCTATAATTGACGAAATTTCCTAAACATTTCTTGACGCATTGATGTAGTCCTATAAAAGGAATTTCATCTTATTTTCCTAGACTCACGATTTAACTCAAGTCAACTTGAATGTCTTTAGTGTAGAGTATGGGGCACAACAATTTCGGTCTTACTTAAAAATACTTTTTAAATTTCTTATTCATTTTATTCTTTAATTTCTCTTTCTCTTCATTTCTAATTCCTTTTTTTCTGCCTTTTTGTGCAAAAATTGAAAAACTGTAGAATGAGAAATAAAGTAAGAAGTATCTTGAAAAAAAAAGACATAATATTGGAGATTTTGTTTTTTAGCCAACTAATATATAAAGCAGATCCTACTCAGTATGGGTATTTATAAAATATTTTTAACATGTTTCATTAAAAAAATTTAAATTCATTAGCTTTATTCAAAGATTTAATCAAATTTTTAATTTTTTTTATAATCAGAGGAACAGCTAAGAAATTTTTATTGTCACTCTATCAAATATACATGTTTTAATAATATATTAACAAACACCAATATTTAAATAGGGTTTCTTATAAGAAAAGTCCACATGTTTTATAATTAAAATAAATAAAAATTTCTTTCTCTACTGCTAGCCTACATTAATTATAAATGTGATTAGAATAAGAATATTAGAAATTGAATATTTTCTAAATTATTTTAGCCAAATTCAAACATTTAAAATATGATTTTTTAAACAGAGTAAAATAAGCGTTATTTTTTACAAGAGTTTTATGTGTTACAACCTAAAAATTTATTTGACCAAGATCTTATTTATGTCTATAACCTTAAATAACAAGAGTTTTAGAAAGAAGGAAGCAATAATTTTGAACAAATTATTTTTAAAAAATTTAAATTGAAAATTATATAACATAATTTCTATACTATATAAAAGAGGTAAAGTAATTTTTATTAGTTAAAATGAAAAGTAAGATACTAATAGATATAACTTCAACGTTTTATGCATAGTTCTTTACTAGCATTTTATTTTAATAAATTTTATATTTAATATAATTTAATAAATATTCAAAATTAATCTAATAAAAATATTAATATTTATCTTAATTAAAAATTTTGGTCCCACTAATTAATTATTTCAGGCTTATCACCGAGGTCGGATATTAAAATCTAAGTTGTGTTCGTGTTAGACTCAAAATCATTTGTCATTAAACGTAATTTTATAACTAGAAAGTATGTGCGCATTTAGTAATTCAAGTCATTTCATTGACAGCAAACTAAAGGTTCTGTCTTTTTTTTTTCTCCACACACAAAAAGAAAAAAAAAAGGGTTCTATCTTTGGACTAGTGGCACAATAGTACAAGCTTGTTCGTTGGACCAGCTGCACAATAAATCAATAATATTTTTTGTATATTTCTGTCAATTCATTTTGAAAATTAAGGGTTGCGTAGAGGAAACGGCACAATTCTATATTTCACAATTTATAATAAAGAGAGTAAAATATTATATAAGAGAGATATATTTTAAATAAATGACGCATTTAATAATATTGTTAAATTGAGAAATTTTATTTTTGATTACATCTTCTTTATTATGATGTGATGATAACAAATGAATTATATAAATAAATAAGATTAAAGCAGTGTCGTCTTGGCTATTTTCAACTTATTATTGAAGCTAACAAGAAAATGAAGCCATTAATTGTGGCAATAATTTTTTGGTTGGTATCCTTATTTTTCATTGGTCAAGCCAACTCATACTCATATCTTTGGCCAAACTAATGGATATTATTCAGTAGTTTCTATTACGTTTAAAATTAAATAGTCGGCACATTATTTTTGCCAATTCAAATATTTAGAACACTCTTATGATTTAAAAATAAGTGTTTTAAATTATTTTTTAAATAATCTCATTAAAAATTATTTTCCACTTCAATGCATGGTGCAAGTATTGAGCCTATAATTAAAACCATTGGAGCTCTAAAAATTAGAAAAATGCCTACACTAACTAATTAAAGTTAGCAAGGATGGAAGTAATTCGGGTCACTTACGTGGATAGTTGGGGATTTGAATCCTAACTCTTATGTGTGTTGCAATTTAATTGACAAAAGTCTATCATTTGCTCTAAATACCCTTATAATTGCCAAAAAAAAAGAAAAATGCCCAGTTTATTTAGAACTCATAGATGTGGGTAGTAAATAAATAAATAAATATTATTATATATTGTAAATCATTTGCAAAACAAAGGTAAATATCCTTTGCTTTTTTTTTCTTCCTTTTTTTGAGAATTTTGTATCGTATTCGTGAATTCTCCCTTGAAAATTCTATCGTACCATTTCATCACAATTCTCATACATTAACAATAAAGGGAGCGATTTAAAAAAAATTTAATCGGAAAAGTTAAATTGAAGTGTCTTTCTCAATTGTGCTCTACGTAAAAAAATATTATATTTAGTTGCAAGGCATTAAAAAGTTGTCCTTATATTTATTCAAAAAAGAAAAGGGTTGTCCTTATCAACGTTGTTGCATATTTATAGAAAGGCCTTCTCCTCTTTCTTCTTCAACCTAAGAATCCCATACACCATGGCGAACCTTCGTTTCCATTTCTCCTTCTCCATGTTCTTATTGCTTTGTCTCATGATTCACCCCACTTGTTGTCATACCAATTTCAGTACTGATGAATTGGCACTTCGTGCCTTTAGATTTTCTGTGAGAGACCCTTATAATCACTTGGATGATTGGTCCAACTCTTCTTCCATCTGCAATTGGGTAGGGGTTACATGTGATTCTAATTATGGGAGAGTGAGGATCCTGGATCTTAGTGAAATGAGTCTTAAGAGAACCTTACCCTCACAAATTGGAAATCTATCTTTCCTTGTGAAGCTCTACCTTCACAGCAACAACTTTTATGGTGAGTTGCCAAAAGAGTTATTCCAACTACGCAAGTTGGAAATTCTCAACTTGAGCTATAATGCATTCAATGGAGTAATCCCAACTTGGATTGGAAGCTTGTCTGCACTTCAACACTTGATTCTCAACAACAATAGTTTGGATGGTGTTATTCCTTCAAGTATATCCAATTTGTCAAAGTTGGAGAGCTTGGAATGCAGATCCAATTTTATAAAAGGTTCCATTCCATTTGAAATTGGAAGACTAGGGAGATTGAAGATTTTGCGCATTTCAGTAAACAACCTTTCAAGAATAATACCTTCAGCTATTTCTAATTTATCCTCACTTGAGCGTATGATTTTATCTTACAACTCTTTATCAGGTATGTCTAGAATATCTGTGATATAACTATTATATATATATATATGATATATCTTTCACCGAACTATTTGATGGGTATAAATTAATTAGACATTCATTAAAAGGCTTTCAAGGTAGGGTTTTCTTATGCCTTCAATTAAACTATTTAGGGAGAATGACAAGTAAGGACCTTGCAACAACATTAATGTCAAATTAAAAACTTTAGTACTGAAACATGATAGAAAGAGTACTGAAATTTAAGAACATCAGTGTTGAAAAATCTTAATTTGATATTAATGTTCTTACAAGGTTCTTATTTGTCATTCTCCCTTATTTACTGTCTATCCCACGGCAATCACATTACAATTTTGACTAATCTTAATATTTGTATCACCCTATAAGTGTAATTAATCGACTGAACTGAATTGACAACTATTCTCACGTCAAAATTTTATAGATGGCATGAAACAAATATTTTTAAAAGATAATTATATTTTCAGGCTATTTTCATTTGAACCAAGGCTGGAGTCAAAATCAAGGTGGGCAAGAAATTTTATTAGAAGTAGATGATGTATATTAATATAAAACTTAAAAAATACAAATATATAAAGACAAAACATATTACCTTTAGAAAATTCCTTCAATAAAAAATTGTGAGGAATACAAAAAATTCACATTTTAATGATTCAGGAATGGTAGTGATTCAATTTCAACAAAGTTAATAATTTATTCATATTTTTATATAGTATTATATATGTCATGCATCATTTTCGCTGGATTTTGTATATATTATAATTATTGTTAGTAACTCTAATTTTTTTTACTTAATATACTTTTACTAATCAAATCAATACACATAGACTTTAATGTATTAATAATAAGAATTTTTTATGATAAATAATATTTATAAAAGATGCAAATGTCTTGATTTAGCTAGAAACAAGCCACTTAAATATATAACGCTAAGTATATAATTTTTCCTATTTTATATACGTTAGTTTTCATTAAAATGTTGTGTGTTTTGATATATATATATATATATATATTGTTAGAAAATTTTTCAAATTATTTATGATTATGATTCATTTAAAATATATTCATTTATCTTTAATTTTATTAATATTATTAAACCCACCCAACAATTTTCTAGATATGCACTTCAATTTAATCTTAAACTTTTTTTGAAAATAGTTTGTTATTCTAAAATACTTTTTGTTGATTGAACAGGTGCACGATAGCAATTTCCATCACCTTTTCATTGAATAACGCAGGCAAACGCACCACATAATGATGCACATTCTACTTTTACCTAATCATTTATGCAACATAAAAAAATAAGTACAATTTCAAAATTGGTCTATTTAATTTGAGAAAAAGAAATTTTTTGTCGAATAATAAGTGGTTGATAATTAACATTGTGTAGACCTCAAATTAGCAGCTACGTATCAAAAAAGATTGTTTGATTAATTATTTTCTCATTTTTAAATACAAATTTAGGAGTTATTATATCCTGATCACAATAACTTCAAAAGAATGCATTCATAAAATTACATTTGTTACTTATTTTTCTTTTTTATCATAATCATTTTGTACAAGCATTCATAATGATATGGTTTTCCCATTATCATATTGTAGGGAATATTCCCGAAACAATCGGTGCTCTCACAAACCCGAAAATAATAAGCCTAAGTTTTAACAAGTTGTCTGGCCAAATACCAAGAACTATTGGAAACTTGACTTTGCTTCAAGAATTAAGTCTCGATCACAATAACTTAGAAGGTACACTTTCAATCAATCATAATGTATAATTTTTCATTAATTTTATGTTATTTTTGGTCACATGTATGTCCCTCAATTGCATCCGCATGACATTGTTTAGAAATATTATTCTATTTACCTCTTTTTTTGGCTAAAAACCAAAGGCGAGCATACGATATTGTCATTGATTATGTGAAGATTTGTATTTCCAACTCCATGTCCTCTAAACAGGTATTCGAATTATCAAAGTATACTTCCTTTGAGAAAATTAATATTTGATGCTGGTTATTTTTCAATTATATATCAGAAATAATAAATTTTTTTATTTGAGTATGGTAAAATAATCGAATATTCTTTTGCAATACTCTTTTAACTATAGCTACATAATTTTTTCACGTCACATGCTTTCTTTTATAGAATTCCTTTTATAGTTACGTTGAAAACATGTAAAACTCTTCAAACAATTGCTTAGTATGTGTTTGGATAGATCGACTTTTTGAGGGGAAAAAATTGATTTTGCAATTAATTACCCAAACGGCAATCTTTCCAAAATATGATTTTTTTTCAAAAAATTGATTTTTCTGCAAAGCTATGAGAGGCAGCTTTTTGCGTTCAAATTACAAAGACATATGGGGAAAATTACAAAGAAGGCCCAAAAAAATTATAAGACAAGCACAAAATTTAATAGAAATAAAATCAAACTCTCTTTTCTTCTTTTTTTAGTAAAATTCAAACTTTGAATTTTCAAAAAAGTTACTAATATAAGTTTTTGTCAACCGCCACCCTCCACTGAACACTTGCTATAAAACTAATTTAAATAAAATATTAACTGGTAGAGAAAAATTAATATCATTTAATGTAAAATTGATGGTTATTATAAAGGTTATTGCAAAGGTCCACAAAGAGAGAGAGAGAGAGAGATTTTGCATCATTTGTTATATTGTTACATTTTTTTATGTTGTCAAAATTTCTAAACAGTGCTTAATGTCTTTGTCAAATATGGCTTATATTTGTAATGTCATTAGATATCAACTTGTACATTATCATCTTTATTAGTTATTGTAAAATTGATGTTTGGTATTTAAGAATAAAATATTTCTCTTTTATAAAATTTATTTGAATTAAGATATATTGAGTTATTTATTTATGTAAATTAAAATTTTTAATATTAATATAATTCAAATTTTTATAATTAATCAGATATATAATTTAAATAATATATTTTACTTTTTAAATATTAGATACAAATTTATCAATAATTTATTTTTGAAAGGCAATGTCCTTTATAGTAATTTATACAGCTAAAATTGATTCTGAATAAATTATCAAAACATCTTCAATTCTGTTAAAATTAATTTTAGAAAAACAGTATCCAAATAGATTACATTATAACATAATTAATTATGATTAAAATATACTATTTAATCAATTATTTTCATAATTTATTATACCCAACTAAAATCCAAATAGGCACTTAATATTTTAATCAATTTGCATGTGCCGTTGAGGTTTTGACTGATTTTATCCTCACCTGAGACTTGACAGTAATTCCCCCAATATCTTACTTGCTTAATATATGCCATTTTTGGTTATTCTCTTATATTTGGCACTTATATGCTGAAAAGACTTGAACAAGCCTACATTCTAGAGCCTAAACCTAACCTTTGTCTCGTTTGTTTACTCACTTGTCGGTTCAAAATATGCATACTATGTGTCTGAAATTTTGTTTTTACAATTAAATGATTGTACAAAAGTAACCCGTTAATCATTGTTCATTTAAGTGATGATTGTAAGAACATGTCCAAATTAAAGCGTAAATAAATCTACAATAATTTCGATTGGAAGCCAATTTTGTGGAAGAAATTTCTTTTGAAAAGACAGAGATATGATGTTGATATACAATCAAAATTTTAGGTTATTTCTATTTTTTTTTTAAGACACAAAAAGAATCTAAAGAAGATGAAAAGAGAGAAAGCTACCAGCTCAGAGGAACTCATCCGAACTCCGTAATATACCTCCTAACCTTCAAATATGAGATTGGATGATTTTGAGAGGCTTTTGGGAGGCTTATTTATAATAAGTCCGTTCTCATTGGGTTTAGAATCCATCCAAATCATGTCTTATCATATCTGATATGCTAATATCTAATTTAAAATATATTAAAATATTTAATTTCTACTTTCGGCTTCTATATCTGCACACGGTCGATACAAGTTCAGCCATGTCCACACTTGGTCAAGGAGCTTGTCTGTGACTTAAGAAGTGCACAGCATTTGCCAGTGACCAAATGCGTTTAGGAACTTCGGAATCACCATAGTGAGTTACGTCCGTGATCGGAGACAGTCCTCACAAGCTTGCCACAACCGGAAGTGTCTTTTTGGAATGATTTCTTGGCCTTTAACTTTGGGTTTCATGTTTTAAGCCCTTGTTCATGATATTTTGTTTCCTTTTCCTAGAAATATACCAAAATCTCCAAGTGATGCATTTTAACTAATTTTATCTTTAATTCACACATTAATCAGTCCTATAGTTTTACCAAATTTAATTTTAATATGATAAAATGGTACCATTATATATTAGTGTTGTGTGTAAAATTAAACTTCATTTCTGTATAATATTTTTGTTTGGGATTAACTCTTTAGTTTGTGTTCATTTAACGTGGAACTTATATGATTAGCTTGTTATCAGGTCTGAAGGTAAAAATATAATAAAAATAATTGTTTGATAATGTTTAATATATGAAATTTTTCGAAGAGATCCAGCACAAGTGGGAAATGTTACTACCACATTTTTTTTATTCTATATAATCACACATAATTCTGGTTACTCTACCAATTAAATTTTAAACTACATATGAATAATTTAGGATATATTTTGTATTTATGACAATTAAGTTTTCCATAGAGTTAATTCGAGTAATGTTCTAAATTTTGCATTGATTGCATTTACTCTTCCCTCTCTGCCATTTTGTCTATGTCCTTGCTTTTACCCTTTTGTCTATTTCTTTTTCCTTGCTTTTGCCCTCTTTGCTTCGCCATAGGGAGGAAACAAAATCAGGGGAAGATATTAAATTAATTATTTTCTGTTCTACCTCTTTTATCAGTTTTTGCATGCATTTTATTGAAGACATATTAAGATAATTATTTTGATACATTTTATTTTAATATTTAAAATAGGGTGAATACTATAATACATGATAATAATTAATTTTATGCACGCAAATAAATGTGTTATGTGGCGCGCGCGCACACATGTAATTTTATATATTTAAGGGGCTTATTTCTAATTAAATCGATCTATGTAGGCTATTTTATAACTTATCGACTTGTTTTAGCTTTTTTAATTTAATATTTAGTAATTTATTGATAAACTTAATATTTTTATAATTTAAAAATAATACTTAATTGTATATAGACTCTTTTTGCAATATTATAATTTAATTTTGAATATTTTTTCTTGAAATATCAAATCAAAATAGGAGATATTTATCATAAAATTCATGCTTTTTCGGACATTATAAACTTAAATTTGGGTTGGAAATTTATCATTCAAACAAGTTTATGTTTGTCGAATTGACTTTTAAGAAAAAAAAAATTCAAACATAAATTAATTAATGCCGCTGATTTTTATCCTAAGTTCTATTTGCAAACCTCAATTTATTCTAACTTTAATTTTACAATTTCTAATCCAAACATTCCCTAAATATTATTATATATCACATCTCCTTCTGTAGTTCTATTTCTTATTTATTTTTATTTTCCTTTTTCTTTATTAAATTGCAGGAGATATTCCAATAGAGATTGGCCATCTTCAAAAGCTAAAAATTCTATATTTGGATACTAATAAGTTGTCTGGCCACATACCATCAAATATCTTCAATATATCAGAGTTGCAAACATTGATTTAAGCTGGAATAACTTGTCAGGAAGTATTCCCTCTGATATATGTCATGGGCTTCAAAATGTACAAGCGTTACATCTTCAGGCCAATGGATTATCAGGAGCCCTGCCATCTAAATGGATACAATGCAAAGAGCTCAAATACTTACAATTAGAATACAACTCTTTCACAGGTTTGAGCTACCCTACTATGTCAATTGTAACTTTAATTTCTTGCAAAAACATTTTAATTGCACGTTAATGATTTGGGATTGATCGAGGCCATAGAAGAAGAATAGAAAATCTATTTTTTATATTTCCATATAAGAAAAATAGGTAAAGTGAACAATAAAAAAATATGTGGTTGATGATCACATCTTGGGAAAACATTAAACGTTTTAATCTTTCTCTCCAAATACAATTTTCTTTTTTGTATTGACCTTTGTTGGCTTTTTATCTTCATATATGGTTTTTTAAAATGTGGAAAAATACTTTAAATTTGTATTTCGAACCATTTATCTCTATTTTTAGATAACTTGTATTAAATTTTATGTTAAAATTGCCTTTAAAACATCTGTAAGTAGTCATCCCATGTATATATTTAAAATTATAACTGCATCATTTTAACAAATAAAATTAAAAATGTATTAATTTATTAATAACTGGTTCGTCCATGGTTGACTTGTGAACCGTGAACCACTTCTTCAGCCAGTTCAGTTTTTATATTACCATATTGCAGGAGATATTCCCAAAACAATTGGTGCTCTCACAGATTTGAAAATGTTTTCATGTCACATGTTTCATAGAATTCCCTATATAGTTACGTTAAAACCACGTAAAACTATTCAAACAGTTACTATGAGGGAGGTGAAGTGAATTAAACCGATGACTAATGACAAGTAATGATATTCAGCCTCCGAATTACTATATACTTATTTTGAATTAACATGGTGTCTACTTCCAAACTCGAACGAGTAACTTGCGTCTACTGTATTGAGGCAAGTGATCGATGAGAATAAACTTGATATTCAACTTCAAGAAAAAAAGGTTCCAGCTTTTATGACAGGTGGATTTTAGCTAGTGACCCTCAAGTGCAACACCAATTCTCCTTTCTTGGTGCTCTTGACATATAATTGTACAGAAGCTTCCCGAGATGAATGATTGGAACAATGCTGATAACTCTACTAGCTAGTTATTATGTTGTGAAATCATGATTTTAGTTTTCCTTAAGAGCATTATTATTTTTCCATTTTCTTTTAAATAAAAATCCAGGAGTTATTATATCTTGATCGCAATAACTTTAAAACAATCCATTAATAATTAAATTATTTTGTTACTTATTTTTCTTTTTTATCATAATCATTTTATATGTGAGCACTCATAATAATGTGGTTTTCTCATTACCATATTGCAGAAGAAATTCCCAAAACAATTGGCATATTCATAAAGCTAAAAAATCTAAGCCTAGGTGTTAACAAATTGTCTGGCCAAATGCCAAAAAGTATTGGAAACTTGACTGTGCTTCAGGAATTATATCTCGATGCCAATAACTTAGAAGGTATTCTTTCAACTAATCATAATGCATAATTTTCCATTAATATTTTGTATTATTATGGGTCATGTGGTGCCTGCCTCAATTGCATCTGCATGATATATTGTTTGTAAATATATTACCATGTTTGCCTTTTTTTGTTTTCGGGGCTTAAAAACAAAGGTGAGCGTACAATATTGTTATTGATTATGTGAAGATTTGCATTTCTAACTCCATGTCTTCCTATATGGTACGTGTAATCGAATTACCATAGTTAGCACGTTTTATGCATTGCATGAAAACAACTTTCCAAAAGTATACTTCTTTATTCAAATTAGCTTCCCCTAAGAAAATTAATATTTGATAATTCTTTGACTACTGTCATTTTTCAATGATATATTGGTGATAATATATGTTTTAATTTGAGTAAGATAAAATAATCGAATGTTCTTTGCAATTCTCTTTTGGCTAGATAGAAAATGTTTTCACGTCACATGTTTCATAGAATTCCCTATATAGTTACGTTAAAACTACGTAAAACTATTCAAACAGTTACTATCTCGATATTTTAATCAATTTGTTTTGTCATTAGGGTTTTGATTATTAATTGTGTTCTTATTTGGGACTTGATTGTAACTCTCCAAATATCTTACTTTATTAATACCCCTCCCATTTGATATTTTTAACCAAGTTACAGTCTCAATAAGTTAGTAACTTATCTTTAAGCTAATGTTATCTTTTCATATTTGTTCTTATTTAGTTAGGGAATCTCACTTAAAGGTTTCAGTTGAGTAGTTTATTAAGGGTATTTTTGAAAAAACCTATTAATTACATATTGAAAAACTAAAAGTACCTTAGCAAAAATGCCTTATATTTTTTAATAGTGTGAATATATGACATCTTTAGTAATTGTCATATACTTGGCACTTATATGCTGCAAATACTTGTACAAGCCGACATTTTAGGGACTAAACATGTACTTGGCACTTGTATGCTGCTAATACTTAGGTTCCAAGTATGCATATTATGTGGGTGAAATTTTTCTTTTATATATAAATGATTATCTAAAAGTAACCCATTAGTTATTATTGTTTTAAGTCATGATGACGTAAGGACGTGTCTTATGTTAATTACTTTTCACGCGTATTCTTTATTTCCTTTAATACTTAACTTTTGTCTTCACCTTTTCATTGGCTACTCTTATTTTCTTGGCTTTCATACTTAATTATTTTCTTCACCTTTCAAGGAAAATTCCTTCAACTATTTTTGGCTTATCTTCACTTGAGCATTTGTCATTATCATGCAACTCTTTCATAGCTATATCTTTGATTGTATCGGATAAATTCATACTTTATCCTAATCATTGCAAACAATTTTATAGGTGTTAGTATGCCTTCAGATAAGTTATTTACAATATATTATTCAACATTGATTTTGTTGGAAAATAATTGTGTCCCTTGTAACTTGTCCAACGTGGCACTTACAGTAATTAAAAATAGTAAAAATTGTTTAGGATATAGATTGATAAAATAAGTATATGGACCAACTTGCATTGAATTCAAGTATAGAGATTGAGTTACAAATTCTATGAATCTGTAGGGACTAAATAATTAGTTTTTCCTTATTTATATATGTAAAATTTTATTCCAATTGTTTTGTGAGTTTTGATATATATCGTTAGAAATTTTCATATTATTTATGATTAATTTTTAGAGCAAAATATATTCATTAACCTTTAATTTCATTATTATTCCTGAAACCACCCCATAATTTCCAAAATATAGACTTTAATTTAATTTTTAATTCTGATGAAAATAAAGATTCTAAAATACTTTTTTTATTAATTAAAAGGTGCATCATAGCAATTTCAAACTTACTAATATAATGCTTTCAATATGAATGATTCCATTAACTGATGTTGTTCAAAACATTACTCAAGAAGGTTTTTACATGTTTGGGAAAACTTTTTTTTTTTTGGAAAAAAAAAATATAAGAATACTAGTGCAGTGTAGCTGTGTCACTAAAATTTCTCTCAGTTTTTAGTATTGCTTCAGGCATAATTATGATTTCAGTGACTTGAAAGGAACATATGAGAATTTTTTTTTATTATGACATTAAAAGATTATATTTTGATTCAATCAAATCCACAAACTTAAATTGAGAGGAAATTTGCAATGGCAATATAAAATATGGATAAAGTGCATAGGGAATTGGAATAATATAGTAAAACAGAAAGTGACCATGTGCAACAACCTTAATCAGTCCATTCCCACCCAAAACATCTCTCACTTTTCATGTAGGATGCCAATTGCGTGAATTGCATGCATCTGCATGCTTTAGAATGCATCACCACTCTTAACGATATGTTTTTTATATTGTCATGTACATCACAAGAGATATTGCCGAAACCATTTGCAAACTTACAAGTATGGAAATAATGGTCTTAGATGTTAATATCTTCTAGCTTTTTAAATAAATTTATCAGCACCTTTATTAGAAACATTTGTTTTTCCTTTTTGTCCTTTTACACTTGGGTATTTTAATCATATCCCGAGCAATAATTCTAAGGAAATGGGTGATCTTCTAAATTTAAAAAATATGAACTCATTCACATCAGTGCCCATGGTTTTCTTTGCCTCGTTTTCTACCTTTTGGAGTTTTGGTGGTCTTGAGAGCAATATGGAAAACATTATTTACATTTAATCCTTACTATCTTTGATCATTATACTTTCGATCCCTCAGCTACGTATTTAGGTTTGTGGTTCAGATGCACAAGAATTGTGTTGTGGAATTTGCAACACTTTTGTGTCCATCAAATAGGGAAGTGTTACTCTGTTTTCCTCTATTTTTTTGGCTAGAAAATAGAGGTAAGCATATAATCCTATTCTTTCAGTTTCATCAAATATTCCCAAAGGGACTAATACTATTCTTAATTCCATGAAGATTTGCCCCTCTGACACCATTCATACTCTTTTCTTTTGAGTCTCTCAATGGTTTTTCAATTTTCTGCTTCAATTCTCTCGATAGAGACATTAGAGGTATTGAACAAATAGATTATGGGTTGTTTTGCCTTTGTTCTTGTGAGGAACTGCCTTTTTGTTTTCCACATCACCACTTTTTTAATACGGCTAGGACTTTTTTTTTCCCTCATTACTTCTTTAGAATGCTACATTTTGGGCCAAAATCAAACAACAAGAATTCTGTGATGATGTTGAATATATAATTTTTTATAAAGTTTGTCTGAAGTGAAATTTTTTTGTTGATTTAGAGAGTATTTTTCTTTGCTACAAACATTATTATAATTTTAACTTGGACTCATCAAAATGACTCTAAGCCTATGCCCTACAAACAAGTTAATTCTTCAACTTGTTTATTAAATTTATGATTCTGGTTCATTTTATGGTAGATACAAATTTAAATAGCTGAATTTGTTGAAAGTTATGTTTTACATAAACATTATATAGACCCTTATTAGAATTTCATATTGGAGGGATAATATCCAAAACGTGTTTATATATATATATATATATATGTATTAATGTTGAAGTCTGTAAGTGTCACCATCTTGAGAAATTCCATTCATCTAAAATAGAATATGTTATTTCACAAAAAAATAATTAATATATGAATTTCAATGCTGATTCTGGTTGACAATGAAGGATTTCAGTATGCCAAAGCCAATAATCGAAATTTAAATATACGAGTGACATATATATTTTAACTATGAAGTAAGTCTCTAACTGCCATTGTGCTAGTAAAATTCTTTCACTCTTTTGATAATTTCTTTTTTCAGTTTAATATATATGGCCTCTAACTTTCATTTGCCAACACTACTGCACGGACCAAAAATTGTCATGTTATAATTTTATTTGAAACTTGGGGTCCAAGAGTGATCGTTTTAACATTTTCTCTTTTTATTTTTTAACTTTCTTTTATATAAATTTTAGTTAAAATACTAAATTCATTATTAGAAAAGGTCACCATTTGGGGCAAACTTATTAATAAGAGAGCCAAAAGGGTCTCAATTTAGCTTTATACTTTCTGTACAGTATCCTAATTCTAAAATTAAAGAAGAATAAGTTATTAATAATTTATGTTGGAATATTAGAATATTGGGTGACTAGAGTTAATCACTTAGTTTTTGTTGACCCTAAAATACTTAATTCTGGACCAGATTATGGTGCTCATCATGTGCTCCCATGAATATTAGATGAGGGGTGGGAGGATGGGAACAATGGAGGGAGGCAGTGGGAGTAGACGAAGTGATGGAATGAAGGAGAGGTCTGATCCTTCTATTTTGCCCCTCCACTTCCTTCTATTTACCCTCTCTATCCCTCTCCCATTACTCATATTTCATGTCATACAACCATCATCTATATATATATATATATATATTGAGAGAGAGAGAGTGATGTCCACAAATGGATAATAGACAAATTGACATGGACGTCACTTACATTACATGTTCTGCCTCTCCTCCCCTCCTACTTCAAAAGTCATCGCAACTTCATCAGCTAGCAGGGAGAATGATAAAGAAGTCCCCAAAGGATTGACAAATTCAAGTTACATCCTAAGTGCCAAATTTCAATGATTTGCAGCTCAATCTCTCAATTTTGCAACTCTATTGTGACTAATTTGCAACTTATATTCTAAATTTTAACAAAGAAAACAAATTTTTTTATTCTTCAACCATATTAAAATTTCAAAAACTAGATGCAAATTCATCACAATACAGTTGTAAAATTTAGAGACGGACTTGTAAATTTTTAAAGTTTGATATTTGTGACCTCTTTGTCATTCTCCCAAGTTAGTTTAGTCCGCATCATAAGGGAGCTTTTTTCCCCTTAAAAAAAAAAAGGGGAGGATAATTCTAATTCATTCCCGGGCCGGCTCCACCATCATTGTGCTCTTGTCAGTTGTCACTGCCTCCTTCTCCAAAGCTCCTTCCCTCTAGTCTCCTGCTTGGTATCAAAATAAAACCTCAATATGTACAATATAAATTTCGTTATCGCCACCCTGTCTCCGTG